CTTTTCCCTCTTTTATCTCTTATATGTATTAAAACTCTTATAACTCTTTTAATATAAGACTTTTAACTCTTTTATCCCCGGAAAACCCAATAAAGGCAAGAGATCTGCATACCCGTATTAGGGTGGGACATCAACTAAGTAATCAAAACTATGTTAGCGACATTGATCAATTTACTAAGATCAGATTTTATTAGCGAAATTGATATCAGTAAATTGAATATTATCTTTATATTGTTCAATTATCAAAAATATGCAAATTTCTAAAAGATTCAGACGAAAATTGCACTTATTTTTCGAGTTTTTTTTGAATGAGGAGCATTTATTAGAACTATCTTGAAAGTTCTATGTGAATTTTTTGCGAAAGCCCTAAGTAAGTTTTAACTTATGATTTCAAGATAATTTTTTTTACTCTAAATCAATAAAATTTAAGACATTCTATAAGACAAATGCCCAAAACTTATATGTTGATAGAAAATTATCGAGCATAGTTTTATTCTCTAGCATTTTATAAGCAATTTGTGAAAGTTTCAAGGTAATTTGATGCCTTGACAAGAAGTTGAATCATTTTGAAATTATTTTTGTCGATATTAGTAATCAAGATTGTCGTAATCGATAAAATTAAGGAATTTAGAGTTTAATTTGACTTATTAGTGATGTAATATTGCATACATTAGAACTATATAAAAGATTCAATTAGAATTTTGACAAACTTCTACTTTAACCAGTATCGTCATACAACTTTGAAGTATTAAGTGCAGTTGGGGTGAAAGTTATTAACTAGAATCATTATACAACTTTAAAGTACTAAGTGTAGTTAGAGTGAAAATTATTAATAAAAAAGCGATTTGGTGTAAGAACATATAAGTGGGTCGAATATTAAACATTCCTATATTAATTGCCAAAAAATTGTAAGATTGTTATTTGATCTTTCGTGAATTGTCTATAAAAATTAATAAATTATAATGTCATATTAGACCAAATGCCGAAAGTATCCAAGCGAAAAGCTCATCTACGTAAAGCAAGTCAAGCATCAGTAGATGCACGAAAAGCCACTCAACGTAACAAACAAATCCATGATATTAGTCAAATGTTAACCCAAATGGATGACAATAAATTACAGTTAATTTACCAAAACATCGTTCAATTAACCAATAATGAAAAAACAAACCAAATGACGCTTCGCCAAAAGTTAGTCAATATGATTGAACAATTACCTGATGATCAATTGAAGCCTGCAGCTTATTTATTTAACAAAATGAGGTATGATAAAGGGACAAATGAGGATAAACTGCTTTCACCTTTTTTACAAGATAAGGCATTAAACTTTATAAAGACGTCTCTTTATAAGCCGCATCAAGATTCTGGCTCATTAGTTCAAAACAACAAAACCTTGCAAAAAAAAATAAATCAACTAGAAAATTCGAATGCTAAAAAAATTAATAAGGTCAAACAATTAGTGGGAACATTATCACATTATAAGCGTAAAAAGAGTCAACATATCTCAAAAGTACATGCTACTGCACGTAAATCTCAACTTGCAGATTCGCAAAGCTTGAATGCAACCATTCAGGCAATGATTATGAAAGATAAGCGTCATTATACAACACAATTCATAAATATGGCAGCTCAAGTATCACAAATTGGTCAAATATCATTTAGAAGTACAGTTCAAGCTACACAGTTAATCTTGGGTTTTTTAACTGGAGAAAGTTTATCTTTGCCGATTTCATCTAGATCAATTATTCGATGGAATCAAGAAATTAGTGAAATTCACATTGATCAAATTTTAAATAAAAATAATTTTTCTACCTTTTTTACTCTTGGAATAATGGTGGATGAATCAACTCGTGGTCAGCAAAAGATATTTGTACTATGCATCATATTCTGGAACTCAAAAACAAATCAACCTGATTTTCAAGTATTAGAAATGAAAGACCTAGCAAATTGTACAGGAAAAACAGTAGCTCAAACGATATACAATACTTTAAATCATTTTAAAATTAACATGTATCAATGTTTAGTATGCGTTTCAGACAATACAAACTACATGAGTGGAAAAGCTGGTGGCGCAATTACTTTATTTAACAAAATAAGTGGTGCTAAAATGGTTCGAATACCCTGTGGACTTCATGTCGCACATATTATTATGAATAACTTTGAGGAAACTGCCTTTGGAAAGTTACCTAATATTAGTGGATTTTCACAAAAAGAACACCTAGCAAATCTCTTATACTTAGTCTGGGACCTTCACGATGGTTATAATAAGTCAGATAAAAATAAACCAATGGGTGTTCATTCTGACTATATTTACAGACTTTATGAAGAACGATTTCAATATCGAATGACAAAATATCAACAACCACTTCGATCAAGATGGCTTTATGAATTGAAATGCGCTGAACAATATTTAGAGCGTAGAAGTATTCACATACAATTTGCAGAATGGTTTTTATCACA